GAGCAGTCCGACGGGAATATCCGCTGTCGCCGCTGTCACTCCGGAGTCTGCCCACTCGTAGATTAATTGGCTGTCCCTGTCGCACAGACCGGGTCGTCGACGATCTGAAACAAAAGTAGTTGTTTTTCCTTCACTTTTGTTTACGACCCCGTGGACGTCACGCTAATTTCTCAGCTCGCAACAAGCATCTATAAATATTCATAGCAAAGAAAGTGAGTCTCTCAGACTAAAGTAAAGCAGATTTTTCGTTGGTTACTCCTTCAGGCGAGTATACCGAAATTCACAATCATTTTCACCAGTCGCCGGCCGCTCGCGTTTCTTAGAGGGACGAGGATCGGATTGCGGCGCCGCGGCCAGCCAGGGCCTGGCAGGGCAGACCGAAAAGACGACCCGAAAGGAAAAGTGGGGCCGGACCGCTGACTTTGAAACCGAGAGTGGTCCGCCGCCTCGCGACCTCTGATGCGTTACACTGTAACGCCGCGCGCGGCAGCGCGCTCCCAGCATTCGTTCACAGTGAGATTCAAGGATCCAAGTTCAAATCCTCCTTCAAATTTAATTTTTTCTTCACCCTCAACTTTCAATTTTTGTTTATTTTTTTTGTTTTATTTTTTTCTTGTTTGAATTTAAAAAAAAATTGTTGGAGGTGAGATACTTAGATATTTCTCTCTTTTTCTCAGTGCATCTCTATTTAGGTTTCCCAGTTAGTCTCGGCCGGCTCGGCTCGGCCTGGGTCGGCCCCGCACCGAGGCGACCTTGTTGGAGGCGGTGGCGAGTGCGGAACAGCGGAACTCGTTCGGCCGCCGCGTGCACTGTCAGCGTGGCGCCACCACACTGCTGGGGTTCAGTGTAGGCAAGGAAGGCCGGGGCTGCCGGCTTCCATCTTCGATCTTCAATCTTCGATTGCTCGAAAAAAAAAACCACGGCGGTTGAAATGTTAGGAAGCCGCGGAGCAAGAACTGGTCGGAAAAAAAAAACGGGGATCGAACCCGGGGCGCTGCAGTCAATGTCGGCGTGCATTGCCCTGCGAAGCGCGAAGCGACTGCGAAGCCGTTCCATTTTCCATTGGCGCGGATCGAATCGCTCGGCGCCAAGATTAGCGCCGATTAGCGCCGTTACGTCAGGACGCCGCACACGCACGCCGCAGTCCGTCTCGCGTCTGTCTGTCTGTCTGTCTGTCTGTGCTGTCTGTCTGCGTCTGTCTGTGTCTGTCTGCGTCTGTCTGTGTCTGCCTGTGCCTGTCTGTATGTCTGTCTGTCCGTCTGTCTGTTGGTTCGTCTCCTTGCAGCCCCACGGAAACGAAGTGACGGACGGAGGAACGGGAAGGAAGAAAGTCCTGAGAAAGACGTAAATTAGGCGACAGAAGCTGCACAGTACCGCAGTGAACAGAGTGTTTGCCTCCTGATCCGAAGGTTGCGGGTTCAACACCCGCAGCTCACTGCAATTTTTATAAAGTTTTTTATTTTTTCAAAGTTTGAAATTTTGTTTGCTGCTGCCTGGCTTAGCTGCAGCTTTTGATGATATACGGAGTGGAGCTCGGATGGATCCAGTACGTGTGACGGAGAGGGACCTCCCCAGAAAAATGGAGATGGGCGTCCTCTCTGTCCCTCTCGCTCGTCCGGCGGCAGCGCGAGACAATGCCAGGCGGTTGACGTGATGTACGAGTAAAGAGTGAAAGGACGCCACGGTCCGCCACGCCGCGGCAGCGGCGGCCACGCCCTGCCTCTCTGTCTCTCTCGCACCCCCGCGGCCTGCGAGAGAGAGGGAGCGAGACGGCACAAAGCGTTTATCATACGTGTACCCGTTCACCTGGCGGGCCAGAGTGACAAAGTGAGGCGATAACTTTCCCATGGAGCATCTCGCGGAGTGAGAGAGAGAGAGAGAGAAAGGACTCTAGGCGGAGCCGGGCCTAAGCAGCCCCGGCCGATCCCAGGCCAATTGTGTGTTTCCGAGGGAATGCCCGTCGATACCCCTCGGCCGGCCCGCAGAGTCTCTGGCGCGCCGGGTAGCGCCGACTTAATCGTCCCCGATGGCGCGCAGTCGACGCGCAGTCGGGCAGCCGAAGAGGAAGTGACTGCTTGAAATGAGCGTGTCAACGGGGGAGCTGCCGGCTGCCAGTGGCTGTCTCTCTCGCGCGACTGAGACGCCCCACTGGTGCGAGAGAGACAGGCGCCCGGAGAAAGGTGAAGGGGTATTCGCGACCGTTCGCGACGTCCTCGCCGCGTCGCTACATGTCTCTCTCCGTCTCTCTCGCACCCCCGCGCGAGGGTGCGAGAGAGACGGAGCGACGACCACGCTCACAGCGTGCATGGAGAGCAGGCCAGCTGGGAGGCGCACGCGTGTCACAAGAGAAACTGGACCAAAGCCTCACAAAGTGGCACTTGACAAAAGGGGCCGTCTTCGTCGTTGTCGTCGTCGTCGTTGTTGTTGTTGTTGTTGTTGTTGCTGCTGGAGCGCGCTGGTCTTTTTGTTTTTGTTCTGAATTGATTGACCCATCGCACGTAACGGGCGCGCTCGTCACGACTAGACTGCGTGCGCCCCGGTCACGCGCCCAGTCGCGCCGCCCTGCCCTGTCGGCCCTGTCAATGACGAGAAAGGCTTTTCATTTCCCTGAAAGTGTAGTGTCGGCGAAGGAGTCCTTACCCCACTTCCGAGTGACTCTGTCCGTTCAGTCGGTCTCGTCCACCACACTGCCATGGCAGCGCGGAGCAGCGCGGCCTGGAGCCGAGTCACCGCCTCCTAGAAGCAGTGGCGACGCGACGAAAGCAGGACAGCTCCGTTAGCGCCTGCCTCCACGTCTCCGCGTCTCCACGCACGCGTCGCCGCCTTTTCCATTCTTGTCCCGGCCGCCGCGGTTCAAATCCCCACTGCGCCCCTTTTTTCTTCTTTTTTTTTTACTCGACGTCATAAAAGTCGGCGTGTCAGGGGCGCACTACTCGCCACGTTCTAATCGCGGCCGTGGCGGGCGTGGCGGGCGTCACGGACATGTGTCACGGCGACGTCACAGCACCACGTCCGACCACGTCACAGCGCGGCGCGGCGTTACGGCACGGCACCTTTGTGCTCCGTCTATGTGTGTGTGCTCACGTCTCGGCCGGCGTGTGCAGCCAAATCCTTACGAGCATGTCTGTCTGCCTGTCTGTCTGCCTGTCCGTCCGCCCGCCCGCCTAAAACACCCTAATGCTTTGCGTGACAGTTCCTCGGTGAAAGGTCAGAGATGCGCCGCCGCCCCGCGTCTGTATCCCCGTCCCCTTTCTCACCATACCTCTCTCTCTGTCTCTCTCACCCTCGCTAGTCGCTCCGCGGGCCGCAATCTCTACATCTCTCTCACTCCCTCTCTGTGAGACGCCGCTCCACTTGGGGCTAATTGAACTCGTTTAGAACGTGCCTCGGTTTGCGTCATTACGCGTGGAATCGTCGATAACTCGCTGCAGTCGCCGCTCCTCGAAGTTGGCGCCCTTTTCACAGCACGGCCATTCCCGCGGGAAGACGTAGCTTTTGGCGGGAAGGCGGAGCTTTTGGCGGGAAAACGAGTACGGGCGGGTTTTCAGCAAGGGGGTGGAATCCGGTCCAGGAAATTCGAACAGCGAGGCGGCGGCGACGACTGCTTGCGCAATCGGGGAGACCACTGATAATGAACGGGCCGAAAAATGGCGGTTTTGTTTCGTTTTTGTTTTGTTTGCTTTTGCTTTTTCTTTTGGCACGGTGTGCCTGTGCCCCGGGATGGCTCGCAGGACTCGTTTGGTGAGATGGTCGAGATGGTCGAGATCTCGCGTGGCGCGCCGAGATCGGCTCATCACGAAGAAGAGAACCGCCCTGCTGCGCTAGCTCGGCGTTGCTCGGCGTTTGCTCGGCGTTGCTCGGCGTTGCTCGGCGTTGCTCGGCGTTTGCTCGGCGTTGCTCGGCGTTGCTCGGCGTTTGCTCGGCGTTGCTCGGCGTTGCTCGGCGTTGCTCGGCGTTGCTCGGCGTTGCTCGGCGTTTGCTCGGCGTTGCTCGGCGTTGCTCGGCGTTGCTCGGCGCGCCGACATGCTTTCGTAGATGCAGGACCGATGGGCAGGACCACCACGGCTGTGTTGCTGTCTCACTCCTTGACTCTCTGCCGATCATAAACCTCAAATTTGGCATTTTTTAAAGACGAAAAAGCAGGGGGAGATGATCCATTAGCGAACCGAATAAAAACTTTAATTTATTTAGTTTACCTTTGTTTTGTTTTACATGGGGTCCTTTAACTACTAGTGGCCTCAAACACTGTCTGGTTGATTAATGAATCATGAAAAGAAATTACGCTCAAAATAATTGCGCAGTAGAAAATGAAGTGATCGGGGAAGAAATATCGGATAGATCCGGGTGCAGACGGGATGCTCGAGCAGAACCGGGCTGCTGAGCTAGTCTGTCCAGTGTCTTTCCAGTAGCTGTGCAGGCGGACAGACAGACAGACAGGCGGACAGACGGCCGGACAGACAGACTGACAGGTAGACAGACAGACAGACGGCGCGTCTTCGATTTAACACGTCCCGCCGGTCCAAACTGGAAAGTCAGAATGATGGCTTCATTCCGTGGCCCCGTCAGCCAGGAAACAGATAAAGGATCCAAACTTAATTATTTTTTTTGTCACTTTTGTGAAATTGATTTACCAGCAACGCAGATCACACCTAAGGATGAATTCGGAAAATAAAGCAGGTTTCGACCCAGCCGATACGGAGCTGCTCTGCATGAGAACTAAACCGAAACCTACACAATGGGGTTGCATCGCTGCAGCCAGCTGGACTATCACCTGCGCTCCCTCGCGGATTCAGGGACGCCCAGCCGCTGTGCAATAAAAGCGATTTGATGAGACTGGACTGGGCTCCTTTTACTTCGGCAAAATTTCTCGGGAGGCCGATGAGCTCGTAAAGTGTGCGGGAGTGGAGTGGACGGGGGGCCGGGATCGAAAACCAGTGCCCTTTCGCGCTAAAAAACCAGCAACAAAATCTAATCCCAACCTGTTTCTCTGTGTGTTTCAGGACCGTATGAAGACGGTGTGTCGCATGACAAGAAGAACTCGTTAATAGTGAGTATATCGGTCGTCTGGCGGCGCTGGGATTCGAACCCGCGGACCGCTCGCCGCGCTGAGAAATGGGCCATTGATGCGGGCGTCCCATGCCGGCCGAGGGCACACTGTACACACGGATCGAGTCACTCCCCCTCCACGGCACTGACCGCGCAGCCCGCGCAGCGCAGCCTGGATCACTGCAGGAGTCTCGCTGGAGTCTCTCGCTGGATTTGCTGGGGTATCTTGATGGCGCCTGGAAGCCTGTAGATCCTCTGGCTGTCGACGACGCCTTCTCAATCAGCTGATTGCTCGCGGCTTGGCTCGGCTCAGACCTGTCCCCCCCCCCCCCCCGCCCGTTGGAGGCGGCAAAACGAGCCCTCCGCGACGACCACGACGACCGCCAGGACCGGCACGGCGGCGGCGGCCCTTTTAGAACAGGTGCGATTCCACCGCGGGATAAACAAACAATGGCGAAAAAAGTGCCCCTTCCAGGTCTATGAGTGTCGTTGGCGGCCGCTCCCCCCCTCCCCCTCCGGCCTTCAATTCGTTGTATAACGTCGCTTGGCTGCTTGCCGCCGCGGTGCTCCATATTGAGCCACAAGTGAAAGTAATGACAGACTGTAGAGTGCGCTGCTGCTGCTGGGCCCCCACCCCAGCCCGCCCCGCCCCCCGCCCCGCCCCGCCCCTGCACCGCTGGCGCCGTACGCGGGGGGCGCAAGCCGCCACAGGTGTGTGCTGACAGCGCGCTGACAGCTGACGCCGCTTAATTCAATCTGTCAGTACTTTTGACCACGCCTGTACCCGGCGGCGTTGATTAACACGAACGCGGCCGAGCGCCGTGGGCGGCCGTGGGTGGTGCGTTTGTGAGGGTGACTGTACGGAGCGCCGTGGGGTTGACTGTACCCGGCAGGGCGGGTGTGCCTCCACAACGCGATTTTAGGGGTGGCTGGGCTGTACTCGAGTGAGTGCTTCTGACGCACACTGTACCAGCGCTGCAGCGCGCCGTGTGTGCTGGGTCGCTGTGCACGGTCCGGGCTGCATTGATTTTTAATTTGGCCAGCAGTGCAGTGCCGCCAGCAGTACAAAGCCCGAGACTTTATTTTCATTTTTTATCTAAAAATTGAAATAAAAAGTATCGTTTTGTTTCTCTGCAGGTGGGGCGCAATGCGGATCCGGGCCGCCCCGCGGACAGCATGGCTTCTCCTTGCTGCAGGTAAAAAAATTTGAATTTGAATGTGAATTTTGAATGGAAATGGCTCAGATTGTTTCCAACATGACATATGTCTCTGCTCTCGTTTCCAGGTCTAGTCCTCCTTTTAGTAACTCCAATATTAGGCGCCCTCAAACCCCCTTCGCTGAAGACCACCACGACGACTACAACCACGACTACACCTAAGCCGGAGGAGGAGGTAAGGCAGAGAGTGCACACACTCTCGGCGGTTTTAAGTTTAATCAAGCGATTTGTAGTCGAGACTCAAGGGCGTTGCTCGGCTTGGCTGTCGGCCTGTCGGTGACAGTGCCGTGCCGCCTTGTCGCTTTGCTTTCCCCAAGCGTCTCGTCTCGTCTTCCTCGACTCGACCGCAAGGTCGGCAATCGCTCCAAACCCGCCAATGTCACAGGCATCATGATGCACTGACCTCACGGTGCACAGTGGGCCAGAAGACCAGTGGAGGCGGCCAAAACTCCAGACGCGTTTTGAGCTCCAGGGTCGTTAAATGGGACTCCAACCGAACGTGTGACCCCACCTTTGGATTCCTCGTTCGGAGAGCAATTCATTGGTGGGGTCACACGGTCGATTCTAGTCCTGTTCAGTGACTCTGGAGCTCAGAACGCGACTGGAGTTTTGGCCGCCTCCACCGGTCCTCTGGCCCACTGTGCGGCGGCGCACGGCCGCAGCGAGACCTGTCTTTCCTCCTGACTGTACCGCCTTGCCTTCTGCCCCGCAGCCCACCACCACCCCCGCGCCCAGCAACAAGTCCTCGCTGCTGACGGGCGTCCCCCAGGTGGACTACAAGCACGACCCCAACCTGCCGCGCGAGCTGAACGGCGCCGACCTCCGCGACTACCCCTTCTACTCCACGGTGCCAGACAACATCACCTTCCCGTGCGAGGGCCTCAAGGATGGCTTCTACGCCAGCATCGAGCACAAGTGCCAGGTGCGTCGACGGTCTCTCTCGCACCGATACGGGACGTTCCATGAGCGTGCGAGTGAGAAGAGCTTTGGAATCAGCGGCCGGGAACGGCGGAAAAGCAGCGCGAAGTTGCATTTCTGAAAATTAAAAGTGAAGCGCGACGCGGTCCGCTTTCCGGGCGAGTGGCGCCGCCATGGCGCCGCCTGGGCCACGACGCCGCGCTCACTCCGCGGCCAGTCTCTCCTTGGCCGCGACCCGCGTTCGATGGTTCGATCCCCGTCGACGCCGCGCTTTTGCTCTCCTTGACTATGAGTCCCCCGAGTGCGTCGCCGGGCAGGATGGGTGTGGGCGACGCTGGCGACGCGGAGCCCTCGTGAGAAGCATGCCGCCATGCTGTCGGCCCTGTTGCCACTGGTCGTCACTGCCGGCCTGCTCAGCGCGCTCGATGCGGTGCGCGTCAAGAAAGTAAGGTCCCGGGTTCGAATCCCAGGATCGCGCATAGGATTTTGCTATTCTTTTTGTGTTGTCTTGATTTTAAAGTGGCGTGGTGCCTGTGCAGGTGTACCACCACTGCCTGTTCGGCACTCGCTACGACTTCCTCTGCGCCAACTACACCGCCTTCGACCAGAGGACGTTCATCTGCCACTTCGTGTCCGAGGTGGACTGCAAGAACTCGCCCAAGTGGTACAGCAGGTAAGCCCGCTCGTCCAGTTCCAATCCGTTCGCCCTTTTTGCAGTGTAACATTCGGTTTGGCCGGCAGGAACGAGCCCCTGTACAAGGCGACCACGACGACCACGCTAGCGCCGCCGCCGCTGCCGGCGCGAGCCATCTACGACAGGCTGCCCCCCTCGGCGGAGGGCGGGCCTCGACGGGGTGCTGCCGGGGGCGCGGGGGGCGGCCGACGGCGGAGACCTTACCGCCGGAGACGCCCGGTCTACGAGTACTACTACGACGACGAGGAGTACGACGACCAGGAGTACTACGACGACGAGCCCAGCGCGCCGTCCAGCACCACGCCGGCGGTACGAGCAGTTGCCTTTGGTTTCTTGTTTCCGCCTGTCCGCCGTGTTGATGTTGACGGCCTTGTCCACCGCAGGCACCAGCCAAGCCGCGGCGGCGCAAGCGGCCCAGGCCGGCGGCGGGCGATGGCGGCGACGCGCACCCCGTGCAGGACACGGCCGAGACCACGGGCCAGGGCGCCTCACAGCCGGGGCCCAAGACCCGGGCGCAAGGTGGGCCGCAGAGCATCTCGGTACACAGTATATCTGTTGATTTTTAACATTCTCTGTAACCAACTTCCGTCGTGCAGGGTCCGTGTACACCGGGGGCCAGCGGCCTCCGCCTAAGGTGCGCCGCCCTGTGCCGCTGAGCGACCAAGAGCGGGCGGAGAGGGCGACGTCGACCACCACCACGACCACCACGGCCGCGCCCCCGTCCGCCGCGGGCGGCGACTACTACGACGACGAGGAGGAGGAGCTGCCGCCACCACCAAAGGCCAAGGCCAAGCGGCCCGCAGCGCGGCGCCCGGAAGACTCCGCCGAGTACGAGGACGACTACAGCGAGGAGCAGCCCCGGCGGCGAAGGCCGGCCGTACCAGGACGCCGACGGAAGCCCAGCGCGCGCCGGCCGCCGCCCCGCCGCTACAAGGAGGAGTCCGCGGAGTACGAGGACGACGCCTACGAGGAGGAGGCCCGGCCGCGGCCGCAGGGCAAGCGGAAACGGCCGCCGCCGCAGGACAGCGCCGAGCGCGCCGAGGCCGTGGCGCCCGCCTCCACCACCGCCGCGCCGCCACCCAAGCCGAGGCCCAAGCCGCCGCGGAAGCAGCCGACGTCCACGACGACGACCACCACACAGGCGCCCGAAGAGGACGTGGAGTACTACGACGACGACGAGCTGCCTCCCGAACCTGTGACGCCGCGGACCACCACGACGCACCGGCCGCGGCCGCGCGCCCCCGCGCCCGCCACCACCCCCGCCACGACGCCCGCGCCAGCGCCGGCCAGGGCGACGGCCGCCGACGACGTGGTGCAGCCGCCGCGGTCCAGCCGCCGGCCCTTCCTGCCGTCCAGGGGCGGCAACCCCGTGCTGCCCCGCGGCCTGCAGCCCCTCGGCGCCAAGGCCAAGCCCCCCACCACGCCAGCGCCGCAGTTCGCGCAGATCGCGCAACACCAGGACGAGTACGACGAAGTGCCCGTCGCGCCGCGGCCCAGCCAGACCAGGAGCCAGCCCGCCAGGCCCGTGCTGGACCCCACCGAGGTAAACCTCCAGGCAGGCACCTTTGCCGCCGAAAACCCATTCATCCAAAATCCGGAATTTCGCCTTGTTGCGCGTCCTGGTTTCCCTGGGGTTCCACTTTTGCGCCGCTGCAGGCCGCCGCCGTCGGGCGAAAAGAACACATACCTCGCGCGGGCGCTGGGTACGCTTCCGGCGCGCACACACACACGCGCGCAACGCACGCACTCACACACGCGCAGGCCGCACGCGGCACTCGCTCACACACACGCACACACATGCACACACACGGCTTGCTCTGCCTACCGGAAACAACTCTCACGTGAGGACGCGGCGTCGCGGCGGCGAGGGGCCGCGCCGCCGCGAAGTGGGTTGCCCGACTGCAAGGGGCAGAGCAACGCAAGGAAAAGTTTACAAAAAAATATAGTGCCAGTGTTTGAACCCGGGTCCTTGTCCGCAGGTGGTGGAGCCGGTGACGTACCGCGCGCAGGTGCCGCTGACCGCGCTGGACGGCTCCAACTACCGGTCCAGGGTGGCCGGCTCGTCCGTGCTCTCGTACTCCACGACGACGACCGCCAAGCCCGCCGCACCGAACGCCCCCAACCGGTACCACATCGTCAAGACCACGCCGCCGCCCACCAACCACGTCGACGAGTACCCCAAGGACGACCCGGAGGTGGGTTCCCGCTGCTCCAGCTCGGCAGGCAGTCGGCGCACAGTGGACCAGTATACCCGAAACCGCCCAAAACTCTAGAGCCCAAAACGTGTCAGGAATTTTGGCCGCCTCCACCGGTCTTCTAGCCCACTGTGAGGCGCAAGGCTTTTCGATATTTGGCGCGCAAATCGTAGTGATTTTGGCGCGAAAATTGGCCGCGGCGCACTGCGGCGTCGACGGCCCGCTTTGAATCCCGCCGACATCATCCCGGCCATTGGCATTATCGAATCGGCTGCCGAGTCATTGGCCACGGCGGCTACAGCGCCGCGGCCCGCGAGTGCGAGAGTGACAGAGCGACGCGGCAGCGGCAACGGCTCAGTGACGCGGGAAGGCAAAAAGGCGAATTAAAGGCAGCGATACTGCCAAACACATTCCCGCGGCGAGGCGGCAACGGCACTGGCTGTTCCGTGCCGCCGTCCTGCAGTCTGGCAGTGCCGCGGCAGTGCCGTCCACGCTCCACTTCTACTTTCGCTTTCCGAACCGGAGCGGAGGCCCGGAGGCCCGGCGCACAGTGGGCCAGAAGACCGGTGGAGGCGGCCCAAACTCTAGACGCGCTTTGAGCTCCAGAGTCGCCGAATGGGACTAGCAACGAACGTGTGACCCCACCAATGGATAGCTCTCCGAACGAGGAATCCATTGGCGGGGTCACACGTTCGGTACGAGTCCCATTTAGCGACTCTGGAGCTCAAAGCGCGTCTAGAGTTTTGGCCGCCTCCACCGGTCTTCTGGCCCACTGTGCGGCGGCACGGAGGGGCGTTTCAGCGTTTCCGATTCCCGGAGACGTCCGCGAGGCTGACTGAGGCGGCGCGGCTTACTGGATGAGTGATTGATTGGCAGACGGCCGGACCGGCGTCGCTCCGTCTCTCTCGCACTCACACGGACCCTACGGGACGCCCCGTGAGTGCGAGAGAGACAGAGCGACGCCGTATTGAGAAGCAGCCCGACTGAATGGCAGCGGCCAAGTGAGCGGCGCGCGCAGCAACAAATATCTCAGCCCAAGCAGAAAGCCCCGGGACACTGGAGAAAATCAATCACGCAGGGAATTCCTCTGGTTGGCCATTAGGAAATTAAATTGTCGTTTTTCAATTTTTTTGTGATTGTGAACGCCTTGCGTCTGCCGCAGGAGTACGACGACTCACTGAACGACGCGCTGCACCCGCCGCTGGCGCCGCTGTCGTCGCTGGCGCCGCACTCGCTGCCGTACCGCCAGCTGCGCTCGCACGCCTCCAAGGCGACGCGCAACGGCGAGCAGCAGGTGGTGCCCAACGCCAAGATCCTGTACGAGCCGCAGCCGCAGCAGCACACCCAGGCCCTGACCGTGGTGCCCGCGCCGTCCTCGCCCGCGCACTTCAAGTCGCGCGGCAACGTGCACTACCAGGTGAGGGGGCTTTCTGTCCTCGTCGCGCCCCACGGCGCGCCCCACGGGCCGTCAGTGAGAGCGAGAGAGACAAGGCGTCACGTGGGCGACGACTCCAGCGCGTGCGCCGGGCCGCGGCCGGCCGCGCGGCAGGGGAGAGTGTTGGGTTGCCTACCTCCGGGCGGACGATGGCACGCGCCGCCGCGGCCGCCGCACCGCGCGGTCTCGGGTTCGAATACTCGGACTTACCACTGTCTTTTGCTTTGCAGACCAGCGCAGCGGCCTCCCAGCAGCACGTCGCGCGCGCGCAAATCACGCAGACGCCGCAGACCCCCGCGGCGGCCGCCCTGTCCTACGACGACTACGAGGACGCCGACCGGCTGTACTACCGAGCCGCCCCCGCCCCCGCCCCCGCGCCGCCCGCCCCCGTGGCCGCGCCCTCCGCCCCCGCGGGCCCCGGCCCCGCCCCCGGCCCCGTGTACCAGGCCTACCTGCAGTACAGGCGCTTCCAGAGCCCGCGGACGCAGAGCAACGCCGAGTACTACAGCTCCTACTAGGAACCTTCCCTTTGTCCGCGGGGACCGCGACGACGGAGCCAAGCCATCACGGCCCGGGGCTCGCGGTTTGCTCCAAGCGGAACCTGCGCCAAAAGCAACAAAAATGTTTTCTAAAAGCCCCGCCTGCCGAGACGACACCGCCAGGGCGCAGCGGGCTGGTGAAAGTCCACACCTCACCACCTAGTGTTCATCGAATTCGAAGCTCTTGCCATCGGACGAGGAGTATGAGAACGTGGTCGGTCAGAGGGCGGCCCGGCCTACACCTTGCTGCGGGCCGCCTAGACCGGGACGGGGATGCGATCCGGAACAGCCACCGGGGCGCCTCCATTCATTCATGGGCTGTGCAGAATGGGTTTCACTTGCTAGAATCGGGATCAATTTCGGTTTGGTTGATCCAGGAAGAAAGAGAGAGATAGAGGTTTATCGGGGTCACGTTTTGAGTCGTGGCGGATTACGTGTGCTGAAGACGTTAAATTAAAGTTATTTATTTGTTTTCCCCCTTTTTTAACTGAACTTGAGTGGTGAGTTTCAAATTAGGTAAAGTCAATCAAAATATTTAGATGACGTGAAATGCGTGAAAATACAAGGAATGTTGTTGTTTGGAGTACAAATTGAAACTAATGGAAAACTTTTGGTGTCATTGTTAACGAGGTGAATTTTTTATAGTCTATGAGGGATAGGAAGACTGTTGTGATATTAAGATGAGGAGAGAAAATCGTTTTTTCTTTATGACAGTAATAATATGTACAGAGATGACTAAAGAGACCTTAAAGTTATACTTTTCACTATGAGAAAGTGAAAAATGACATTAGCATAAGTATCAAATTTGTTCAGCCATGAAGTCTCCTTTTCTTTTTCTGTGAAATTGTGATCCACTTTTATCTGATCTTCTTTTGACTCATGGTTGTGCCCTCCCTATGATGTTGTATGATAGAGGAAATTTAAATATGTATATTTTTAATATATGTATTTTTAGTGAAGCTGATTTTATTTGACTGACCTCCCATTCATTACACCTACCACGCACATTTAACTCGAATGCCAGGAAGTTGGTAATACCCCTAGCAACAGCTGAGAACCGCACAGGGAGAGGCAGCGAAAACAAAAATGGAACGAAATGTTGGGAGTTCCACTGATACACACCCCCTCAAATGAGTACGAACTGTCGAAACTCGAGTCAAATTTACAAGATAGGTCAGTGGCACCTGCCCGCTCCACACTGCATCTGTGCGGTTGTTTCCGAGTGGAAAGATTCTCCCGACAGCCTCCATATCGAGATCTCGTGGCGTGGTCAGGCCGGTCAGGCTCGGCCTCTGGGGGAACGGAACAGCTGTCACGTGTCGCTTGAAAGCAGCCTATTTTTTTCGGGTAATCCGCACGCCGCAACCCTGGGGTCGTTCTTTTCCTGGCTCTCGTGATGCCGCGGCCACCGACTCACCGAAACCACGTTAATGTGGTACCGAAAGGTGGCGACGACACGGCACTGTAAACCCAGTGCCGAGGAAAAAAAGAAAATACACGAAAACGCTCGCGGAGATCTGGTGTCTCGAACCCAGGAAGTCTCGACCGAACGACGAACCGCCTGCCTGCCCAACCGAGTGGGGCCTCTTAGTCGAATTTGGAGAAAAATTAAAAAGTCTATCTGACAGTGCCAACCAGGCCAAATTTCACGCTAATACTCCAGCAAAATATTTTTTATTATTTCCTCTTATTTTTTCATATTTGTTCATTTGTCGTTGTTGTTGTTGTTGTCGTTGTTTTTGTTGTTGTTGTTGTTGTTGTCGTCGTGTTGTTGTTGTTGTTGTTGTTGTCGTCGTTGTTGTTATTGTTATTGTTGTTGTTTTGCTAAGTTTGGCAGTGTAGGCCCATGGCGCGGGCGCAAGCCTCCAGCGGTCTGCAGTATGCTGCAGCATGGCAGCTGGAGATTGGGCATCTCGCTGCCACCACCAAGCTGAGGTCGCCGTGCATCCACCCTGGCCGGCCGGCAGGGCAGTCGGCCAGTATTTAAATGGCAGTCGGCGAGGCGGGGAGCACACTAGGAGCGCACCCCGCTGCAGCAGTGCGTGAGTATCGTTCTCTTCTTGGGTCGAACCGGTCAATTTATTTTCCCGTTCAGCGTCGATCTTTCAATCGCTTTCAATTAAAATTGTACATTTTTTGCAGCCGTTTGCGATGAGGTTCCAACTTGTGGTGGTGTGCCTGTGCGCCGCCGCGGCGCTGGCGGTGAAGGAGGACGTCAAGAAGGTGGAGACGCTCGACAAGGCCGCGAAGAAGATCGACGCCGCTAAGGACGACAAGAAGGTGCTCCTCAAGGACGGCGATGACGAGGTCGTCAAGCTGCCCGACTCGGACAAGACCTGGGGGCAGGCCATCAACGCCCTGAACCCCACCGCCGAGGTGTTCTCAGCGCACCTGCCCATGTACGTCAAGAGCAAGGTCAAGCCCGAGATCGCGCAGGCCTTCGACCTGCAGGAGGAGCTGACCCACTGGAACAAGGAGGGCAACCCTCAGCACTTGGAGTTCATCGGCGACGACGGGGAGTCCGCCTTCGCCGTCATGTCCAGCCACCAGCCCGTGATCTTCAACAGCTACGGCGAGGACATCATGTTCCACCTGTTCACCAAGGCGTGAGTATCTACTTGTAACGCACATGCGGCCAAAACTCTAGGCGTGTTTTGAGCGAGTCGCTAAATGGAACTCGAACCGAGCGTGTGACCTCACCAATGGATTGCTCGTTTGGAGAGCAATCCATTGGTGCGGTCACACGTTCGGTTCGAGCACCGTTTAGCGACTCAGGAGATCAAAACGCGTCCAGGATTTCGGCCGCCTCCACCGGTCTTCTGGCCGCCGGTAACAACCAGATGACTTGAACTGGCGACTCTCTACCCCAGCGACGAGTCCGACCTCAAGGGCTACGTGATCAACGACTTCAAGACGCTCGTCGACGAGGGCGGCTTCGACCCCAAGCTCCCCGTCAAGGTCATCATCCACGGCTTCACCAACTCCATCCGCTCCCCCGCCATTCAGCTCATCAAGAACGGTGAGTCGCAGAACGATGAAACGCATTTGGGCCCGTTGGCAACAATGTTCGAAGGTTGTGTCTGCCGCAGCGCTCCTGGAGTCGGGCAAGTACAACGTGATCGGCGTGGACTGGGGCCGCCTGTGCCGCGGTCCCTGGTACCCCGGGGCGCGCGCGCACGTGAGCGGCACCGGCGCGAAGGTGGCCGAGTTCCTGGACGCGCTCGTCGACCTGCAGCTCACCAGGCCCGAGGACGTGCACCTCATCGGCCACAGCCTGGGCGCGCACGTGGCGGGCATCGCCGGCAAGTCCATGACCAAGGGCAAGCTCGCCAGGATCACCGGTACGTCGGGTCGGGGGCGGTCGTGGGTTCAAATACCGACTTGGTGCTGATTTTATTAAAATAATTAATTTTTTTAAAAAAATAATTTTTTAACAAACTTTTTGCGTTTGCAGGCTTGGACCCCGCAGGGCCGCTCTTCCAGCTGACCGACAACAACGGCATCCTTTACCGCGGCGACGCTGACCTGGTGGACATCATCCACACCAACGCCGGCTACCTCGGCAAGACCATGCACCTCGGCAACGTCGACTTCTACCCCAACGGCGGCCACTTCCAGCCCGGCTGCCCCTTCGACGTCACTGGCGCCTGCTCGCACGGCCGCGCCTACGAGGTCTTCGCCTCCACCATCAAGAACTCCGACGCCGTCCTGGAGGGCGTGCTGTGCCCCTCGCTGCCCGACGGCGCCAGCACCTGCGAAAACAGGCTGCGCCAGCACGAGGACGTGGAGAAGGCCCAGATGGGCTACAACGTCAAGTTCAAGTAAGCTGCTGTTTTCACCCAGTGTGCCCGTGCCCTTTGCACTGTTGTTGTTTGCACTCATTTTTTGTTTGTTTTCATTTTGCAGCAAGGAGGGTGCGTACTTCCTCCGAACCACCGACAAGCCCAACTTCCAATTCAGCTGGTAGTCGATGGGTCAAGCAGGAGCTGTGTGCAAATGTTGTTAGTGTAAGGATTTAAAAAAAATAAACAACAACAAAAAAAACAAAAACGAAATTTATTTAATTCGAAACGTAGCGACTATAATGCACAATAGCCCCGCCAGCCCGCGCGCCTTGACGTATGATTAAGCGCAGCGGGCCGGGTGATGTTTCATTTAGGAAAGTTGCAGCAATAAAAGCGGACCTGCTTTGCATACAAAGTCCGGGTAGACTATTCCGGATTGCGATTATTATAAGGGGAGGGGAGGGGCAGGGGTGCTCCGATGAGGGATGATGGCTGCCTTGCCTCCCCGCCCTACCTTGTCCAGCGCAGAGCCGGCCTGAGCCAGGGCCGCTCTCGGGGCAATTCGGGGCGAATAAGTTCGGGACCTGCCCCGCCCCGCCTGCCCCGCCCCGCCTGCCCCGCCCCGCCCTGCGTTAGGGACACAAATGAGGAGGCAGAGCGGCGAGCTCGTCCCCGGCAGGCTTAAGGCGCACCAGCAGAAGCCCATTCTGAAGAGACGAGGCCCCGCGTTCGATCCCACCCACCTACCATTATTAACTTTCCAATCGGATTCCCCAAAGTAGTCACTCCGGAAGGGTTGTCAAATGAGGCACACTCGATGAAGAACTGGCAAAGTATTTATTGATAACTAGTTCAAAGACAAGACAGCGCTGGTTCCCCGCCGGGCTCTGCCGGCAGTAGAGTACAAAACATGTAAAAAAAGGAAGCAACGGGTTGAAATAATCCGCCGGAGAGTCCTGGAACGCGGCGTGTGGCAACCTCCTGATTCTGTTTCTGATTTTCGACTCCCGGCGGACGCTCCAACCTATCTACCAATTAAGCAAGACAGTCACGCAAAACGATTTCAACTATTTAACTTTACAGACATTAGAGAAACGACTAGGGGAGCACATTGTCACAACCATTTAGGCAGGGAAAAGGAAAGGTTAAACAGATTTTTCGAAATGTAAGGCAATATTGACTGTTATACTTTATGCGTTCCCAAATACATTTTGGAACTGCTCCTTTTTTTTTACAAAAGCGAAACAAAATTACAATTTGGAGAAAGTGAAATATTTGTGATGTACATTTCCTTGGGCGGAAGAGTGAGAGAGCACGGGTGGCCTCCATGGACGCAATTTTGAAGGCAAAAAGCAGGTACTTTTGGGCTCACCATCGACTCAGAAAGGTGACTTAGACATTAGAAATTCTCTAACTTTTTTTTTCTCACAGACATCCTTAGACGTCTCTATTTTACAATAACCCCAGCCACCAGGTCAACCAAAGGACACAATGTTTTAGTGTGTTTTGAAACGTTCTCCATTGATTTTTAATTCCTGGTTGGGGAAATTTTCGGTGAGAGTAGAGTCTTTGTCGCCTCTGCTTGCGAGGTCGACGCAGCCCAGAGATTCAAAACTGGACGGGTTTACCTAGTTACTCATGTGGACGTCTCTTACTGATGCTGGAATGAAAATACGAAAATATATTTACATAAATGGACGACGGCTGCACGCCCGGACTTTTAAATATTCATATACATTCACGCTTAAATTAGGCAAAGATTAAGAACTACGAATTAAAGGTAGCTTGTTTTGGCATGTCGTTTCACCAGGTTGCTTGGATGCAGGGCATTTCAGTTCGTGGCCGTGGCTTTTGGCTGAGAATTCGGGCTGACGAGACAGTAGTTTTTCGATGTTGTTTTCAAGATGGGTCAAGATGCCTCGTGTTTTTTAGTGCGCCAATGCAGTGGACAACCCAACTAGCACAGCTCCAAAGCGAATGCCACGAACGACGAAACGGCCCGCAGGGAGGCATATCGTAACAAGAAGTGGGACTAGCTTGAGAAAACAACACTCAGAAAGTAGACATAAAGGGTCAAGATCCACCTCGTTCGACGGCATAGATCGACATGGCTGATTGACACAAAAGGACGGTTTCTCACGAGTCGGTTTCAATTGACCGGATACGAGCATCGCCAGGCCGGTGGAAGTCATACAGTCACGCAAAACCAAAAAAAATTCAACCTGCGGTTTGGATGGCGATGCTCGGTACGAACTGCATTTTCATGCAACGATTTTTCATCCGTCGTTCTCTTTCTAAAAGTTCGAACCAAACTTGTTTTCACGGATTGCAGGCTTCACGTGGTCGGGGTGGCCACCTCGTGCCTCCTGATGACGGCGAAGTGCGTGACCTGGAACGAGTTGGTGCGCTTGCAGCCGCGCTCCAGCGTGCCCGTCATGGAGTACCCCATGTTGAAGTCGGCGGCGCTCACCCGGGACGTCAGGCAGAGCTGAGCAGGAAAACAAATTGCCACGTGCCGAAATCCACCTCAAATTTTTCTTTCTACATTTATTCCGTCGAATGTTCTTACTTTGAAATTAGGGTCGACGTCCGTCTTGAACGACCCGATGATGTGGAGGTTGCCGTTGGAGGACTCCTCCATCCGTGCCCGGGTTCGAATCCTGGAAAAGTCAGGAGAGGAAAAAAAAGTGTTAAACAGAGACGAACTAATGAGAATCGTGCAGCCCTCCGCCAGTCAATCCCTGCTGGCCCGGCCGCTCCGGGCCACAATATCTCGCAAATTGGATTTACTGATCCCTCCTTATTGTTTCTTTATAGTGGATTATCGCGGCCAGTGAAAGTGGGAGGCACTAATTAAACAGGAAAAGGGGGAGAGAGGGAGAGAGGGGGAGGGGAGGGGGAGGTGCTAGCTAGACCACGCGCACAATTCAACAGCCATCACTTCGAATGAAGAAGGATGGTCGACTCGTTGCTAACGGCTGAAAAGCGAACTGTAGCTAAAGTGGGGTGCGTGGGGTCGCCTCCGGTACCTCGTACTGCGCGACACTGCCGCTTGGTGGCGCCGGCGGCGTCGCGCGCTGCTGCGCCACGGAGCGCAGCCATGGCGCCCGCGAGCGGTGTGGGTAGGCAACCCGGTGGACAGGCGAGTTGAGCGGGATGGCCTATGCCGCGCTTCGCAGGGGCTTCCACGGCGTCGAGACGAGGCAGGCCAAAATCGCCTCGATGCACACGAGTCGAAAGGCTTGCCAACCTCAGCCGGCCTGCGAGGCAGCTGAGCTTTGCTCTCGAGAAGTTGCCTCCCCTGGCATCCCTGCATCGGGGGAGCCTTCGTCTGTGTGCAGCTACACGGGGTGAGGCGGCGGGGCTGTTGTTGAAACTCGGAAACATCTTCACACCAGAGAGTTTTCCGCCACTTTGTTCCGAGGGCGTAATAACCCCAATTAGTATGACGAACTACCCCCGGCACTGGACACGCCCCCTCGCGCCCCCTTGCCGCGCCCCGCCGTCGTCCTCGAAAACACGGCTAACGATGATGGAGGTCCCCTATTTGTAATCTTTATAGTGGCGCCCCGCTTTGTTAGCGAAATAATTGCAGCCGTGATGGCGGGGCCGATGGCCGACGGCCTTCCAAAGACACTCCGGTCCACTCCACTCGGGCGGGGCGGGGCGGGGCGGGGCGGGGCGCCGTGCAATCCCGCGTGCGGCGGGGCGTGGCGGACATGCACTTCGGGGCGCAGCGCGCAGCCAGGATGCGGAAAATGAAAAACAAAAACAACAAAACTCGCATGACGAAAACACGACAATAAAGAGGAGGCCTTTTCCTTCCTCGTATTTTTATTGTTGTTGTTGTTGTTTTTTTTTGTCGTCGGCAGATGAGTGCGTGCGCGAGCTTGCCGGGCCGTCGGGCCGTCGGGACGTCGCGACGGGAGGTACAATGTCGGCCGATTTCGTGTTTGAAGAGTCTGCAGGGCAACCGGGCCGGGCCTGAGGCCGGGCCGCCAATAGAGGCGGGGGTAAAAGCAGCGAACAAACGGGGAGCCCACAGCGCGGCACGGCCCGATGCACCGCGTCGCTCCGTCTCTCTCACACCCCGTGAGTGCGAGAGAGACGGAGGGGGCTGCACGCCCGCACCGCCCTAACGGAGCGAATCCCTGCAATAACTGGACCGTCCGCACATTCCACCCCAGCGGAGTGCAGTAGATCGATGTCTCTCTCTCTACCTCCACCCCTCTGTGTCTCTCTCTATCATATCCCAGCTTGTCGGCGGTTTTAATCATCGAAGCGAAATCCATAAAGGAGTCAGAGCTCGAGTCAGAGTCTGTGTGACTCTGACTGAAACGATTCAATGAACTGATTCTCTTCGCGTGTGTGTTTCTTCTGTGCCCTCTTCAATTTCCAGAGTACTGCCCGTAACTCTGGCTGAAGTGACCGCTGGCCGAGGCGGTCCGAGGCGGTGCGAGGCCCACACGTCACTGACGTCAGTCCAGTGGGCCGGCCTCGCCTCGGCCTGCCCAGGAATTCCCATCTTGCACTGCGGTCCGCCGACAGCTCCATCTGGCTTCTGGCTTCTGGCTTCAGGCAACGAGACGGGGGAACGCGGAAGCCGGGAATAGGGGCTGCCGGGAATCTTTCGGCCTCCAAGTCGTGCATAATCCAAGTCTAGCGGGGCCTCATCAGGCCTCGGGGCATTCCACTGCATTCCCGGCCACACACACACACACACACACACACACACACACACACACACACACACACACACACACCATCATGTAGCCATGAATACATATGTGATCCGCACAGAGCCGCAGGCAGACGGACTGCGCCCCGGCAGATCCTTGGACTCGCCCTCTCTCTCTGACTGTCTCTCTCTCTCTTCCCCTCGACGTGCCCTCCCCGGCTGACCGGCCTGTCTTCTTGCCGCCATAGCGACCACATGAGGCATGACCGGCCAGTCCGTGCTGGGCGGCGCTGGGCGCGGTCTGCCACTCAGGGGGAGCAATTGGAGGAGAAAGGCGAGAAGAAGGAGAAGCAGAGGCATGCCATGTGGAGCACTGCCGGGGACGGTGACGCGGTTGTTTGGCGGTTCCAGGACGGGCGTGGTGGTTGGGGGCGGGGAGGCCAGGAGGTCGTTGTCGTGAGCCTTAGCGACCCGTTGCTGCTGAGGGCTCCATCAGGACGCAGCGTCACGCCCCGGCCTGCCCCGCCCCGCCCCGCCCCGGCCCTTGGGGCTGGCCGTCAAAGTAAGGCAAGGCCGTCGTATCGAAGCTGACGTGGCGCCACGGGGGCGGCTGGCTGGCGCCGGGGCGCCGGGGCGCCGCACGCCGTTCAAAACATTTTCCAGCCCGGCGGCTGCGAGTGCGAGAGAGCGCGAGAGAGCGTCCAGTTGGAGCGAGCCACCCCAGTGGCGCTTCTGGCGGGGCGGGGGCGTCGCCGGGGCGTCGCCGGGGCGCGACTGCTGGGAGGGAGGGAGCCCCCGGGGGCTCCAGCCTGCCTCTGTCTCTCTCACACCCGTGCCGCGAGAGAGGCAGAGCGACGGCGAGAATGACTCCGAGGCCGACGACAGCCTGGCTGCTCAGTCCTAGATGAGATGTAGATTTGTTTCCTCTCAGGTTTGGCCGCCCTCGCCGCGTCGAAGCCGCTCGCCGAGTGTTTGTTCTGTCAGCAAGCCGGAGAGCCCCTCGGAGAGCCACGCCACTGCAAGGCAGTTGCGGAGGGAATCGGGCTGTCTGCAGCGGCGCAGCGCGGCAGAGCCGCGGGGCAAGTGGAAAAATAAGTCGCCCCTGCACTTGGATTCGAACCCAGGGAGAAAGAAGCTGCCCTTCCGGCGGAGAGGGGCCGGCGAACCACCGGAGCGTAAAACCGACCGACTCCCAGACCATGATTGCCAACTATACAGTCGAAAAAAAAAAAACGGCTCGGGGGATTAGAACTTCCAACCAAGGGATTGGCAATCAATTACCTAATCCGCTCGGCCACGGCGGTGCCAGCTAGGCTGAGTCAGGAGCATCGGCATTTCTGCGGACGGATATTGTCTCCGCCTGGCCTTAATTTGGGCCCGAGCCGCGCGACTGCCCCTGTTGTCCCGGTGAGGCGGCACCTCCCTGGGACAACACGGCCCCATCCCCACAGGGCCCACAGCCAGTACGGCAAGCCCTGACGCAGCGCAAGATAAAACAACATTTGCTCAAGCCTCCGAAGGCCAAACCGAACGGGCAGGCAAAGGGGGCAATATTGGACGCCGAACGGCGACGCGCGGCAGACAGAGACAACACCCTATCGCACCAGCAGCGCGGCGCGGTGCAGCCCACTTCAAGTGACTTTCACTGCAAAAAAAAATGGCAGTGGCCCGCGGAGGGAGTCGAACCCGCGTTGAGAATTCGGTAAGCAGCCTGTGTTCACACTACGCCACGATGGTGGGTGAAGAATAGAGGAGGGAAAATCAGTCTTGAGATGAGCGGGCTGTCTGCAATCAGGGTGACGAAGTTACCCCCCGCACCCCGATGCTGGGGCCGGGCGGGACGGGGTGGGGCGTCGCCGAGGGCGGTTCGAGACCTTCGCGCGCCCCACGTGGGGTAGCGGGCACCCCGGGGCGAGCGAGCATCATGACGGTACACTGCTGTGAGAAAAAAAAACACTGATGTAAAAAAATCAGTGTCATCATCAGCATAATCATCGTACCAACTTTCTGGGGGCTTGAATGAGAAAATAGCGACGGTGAAAATGACAAAATGACAAAATGACGCAGGGCGCTCGTTCAAATCGCCCTTCCCCTCCCCTTCCAGTGTGTGCGCGCAGCGGGCCTGCGTTTACGCGAGACTTCCGGCGGAGCAATCACACCTCAGCTGGGCGCATGATAATGGGGCGCCCTCGCGCTGTCTCTGTCGCACTCGGGGGCAGCCCGCGGAGGTGCGAGGGAGACGGACGACGCCGATTCGTCATTCGTCGTCTAATGAGACTTGAGCCAACTCCAATCAGCAGACTGACTCCGCGAGTCGCTTTCGACGCTCTCTCTCGCACTCGCAGCGCGTCCCGTAGAGGTGCGGGGGAGACAGAGCGACGACACCGACTCTGCCGTTCTCCGGCCTCTCCGGCGCGCTCCTCGAGGTGCTCCTCCTCCGCGCCGTCATCGTCGTGGTCCCCGTGCTCCGCGTGGCCCGCCCCTCTCGGCTGGCGACGCGGCAGTCATTTCCAGCAACAATTTGCGTCGCTTCAAATTGGAACTTACCCCCAGCGCCACTACGCTGCCACGGTGCTGGCGGCGGCGAACACGAACGCTCCCCCGCCCCACCCCACCCCCGCCCCCCGCCCGCCGACAGCGACAATGCAATGGTCCATGCGCGCCAAAGTTGTAGCGGGTAACTGCCTGACACAAGTATCTGACGATGGGCTGCGCGCCGTGCCCCGCCGTGCCCCGCCGTGCCGTGGCTGCGCTTCACTCTGCTTTGGGGCGTCGGGGGCGTCGAGGACTTCGACAGCGGTGCAAAGCGGGGCGGCGCCCTCGCCGGGGCCCTCCACAGTGATGACGCTCTGCAAGCGAGGCGTCGGCCAGTCTCCATCCAGAGAGCATTTCGCACTGCCAAGACCATTTTCCAATTTTATCTTTATTTTTAACAGTGGCGTCCATTTATTTTACGTTGTCCGCCCTGGGGGCTCTCTCCCT